CCTTGTGGAATGTCGAACTGAAGACAAATCTCTGCCAGTGGAGCTTGCTTTTTGTCAACAGCCTGGATTATTTCGGGGTTTTTTTGTCAATTGAAAAGTATTTTATCTTGCGCTTGACATCGTTGGTGACAGATAACGCGTGTGTGTTGCTAGATCTATGTTTCGGGCTAGATCGAGGTCTGCAGCACACCGCAGCCCTACTCGCTTCACACGCTGCGTGTGCTTGCAGTGTCATGGCTTTCATGGGCTTGCTCCATCACTGCGTTACTCTCTCTCTCTCTTACTTTTTATATATTGTAACGAGCCTTTGTACCTGCTATAACCGGTTGGGCTGCGATGAGGCCCTGTTATTGCAGATAACTTTTAATAGAGACAAAGAGTAAGAAAAAACGGGGATTTGAACAATCCCTGTTATTACCGGATTCCTGTTATTACCGGGCCTGTTATACTATGGTTTCCACTGCATCTCTCTCCTCATTTGTTGATTTATTCGTTTACCAAAATCATAGATATGTCAAAACACATGTTTTGTCAATCCCAGACATGTTTGAGATATCCGTAACGGACTGTAGTGTCAACATTTACCATCATAAAAATAGTAATTGCAGATGTCTCCCACAGCCATCAACACAATTTCAATTGTTCAGGAGGAGGGCCCCTTCCATCTTGCCCGACACAGCCGACCCAGGCAGAGAGGAATACACCTTCAGAAAACAGATGGAGATACTTGTTAAGATCTATCATCCGATGCACGCAAAGACCCATGAAAAAAAAATCTCTCCACACAGGAATCAAAATCATATCTTCTACTTACGATGGTGAAGCACCTAACCGCAACACTAAAGATGCCCAACTTACTATGTTAGTCATTAAAATCAAAATTTAGTCATTTCCCAGCAGCTTGTACTTATTTAAGTTTTAGTGGGAGTTTCATGGTACTTACAACGCAATAAAGTTATATAAGTGCCAAAGATTAGAGGTGTTACAAGAAGAGAGTAGCAAACACATAACAGAAGGAGGAGACATCAAGACGACAGATGATAGGAAGGAAGGAACAAACCACACAAGAACATCTACCAGCCACCCACAGCTTGTACCTCATTATTCTCGAAAAAGAAAGAAATTTAGGGTTTAGTTTTAGTAGAGATTTTACGGCGCTCGCAACTGCATAAGGTTATATGAGCGCCAGAAGATTAGAAGTGTTACAAGAGAGTAACAAACATAAAAAAGAAGAAGGGGAGATAAGGACGATAGATAATTGATAGGAAAGAAGGAGCAAACCACACCAGAGCACCCGCCAACCACCCACAGAAAGAAATTTCATCTCTAAAACTTTCATTAAAGAACAAAAAACAGCAAGTCAGTGCTTTATACAGATCATATTTATTGTAACGGTAACTATCATTCCATGAACCAGGCGGACAAAAGTTACGTAACTCCCACCCCCGAGTCTTCAGCATAAACGTCTTGACAAGCTACTGCCATTGCCGACTTTTTAAAAAGTAGGCCAGTGTGGTCTCACAAGTCATCACAATGCTGTAGCATAGCCGAAATGAGTCTGTCTCTACTACCACCTAAGGCAATTAATTTATGCACACTTTCACAACATAAAAAAGTCTGTTGACTGACAAAGTAACGCAGCATCACTGGACATCAGAGCCATCAAGATCAGTGCGTCAAATCTGACATCACAAACATCTCTTTTCATATAAAACTATGTTCCCACACATAAGCTCGCACAACAAAACAAAAAAAAACCCAAACACATGCAGTCAGGCTCCTGACCTCACTTTCTCACTTTCTCAATGGGTGTCACAAGTTCACAGTTTTTAATCTACGCAGATATATTTATAGCTCAGGGAATGCCCTCAAATGGGTCGTATTTGTCCTCATCGACCTGCTCCGCCTGGGCAATGGCCACCTCCGCAGCTTCGGCTGTCTCGTACATCTTCACGCGTTGCTCTTCTGTCAGGCCTGGCCACACTAGCTCTGGCTCTGAAAAGTTACAATCAAACAATGACGTGAGTCAGACACTGAGACAGAGGGAAAACAAAGTGTACTAGGGCAGGATGTGTGTGTGTGTGCCTGTGTGCCTGTGTGTGTGTGTGCGCGCGCGTGCGTGTGAGTGTGTGCGTGCGTGCGTTCCTGCAGGTGTAATCTTTACGTTAAAGTTTTACAGCGCTTACAACACAATAGTGTTATAGAAGTGCGGAAGATTAGACTGACATAAGAGAACAACAAACACAAAAATGAAAGAGGGGAGATAAAGACGATAAACGTTTGATAGGAAAGAAGGAGCAAACCACACCAGAGCACCCACCAACCACCCATGAGTTTTCCTTCAGCAAAACCAATAGCATGCTGTACAACCATTCGCAATATAATACACGAAGTTACCACTATTGGGAAAAGGAGTACACATGACATAGATCTACAGAAGATCTGATGCCCAGTAGCTACTTTCATCCACTCTTTTTTTACTAGCAACAAGTCTCGCCATCTCACAAGGTAACAGGTGACGACTTGATGCGAGACCAAGGTCACATTAAGTCACAGACTGGGTTCGCATCAACACTAAAGTACACCTACATTTCCCCCCTCCCTCATTCCCCTGCACACGTGGTATGTGTAAACAATCAACTTAGGCCTTGTGGGTCCTGTAGACACAATTTGCTATGTCAATGTTGGCAATTGTTTTGCTTCATTTGCTTTTTTCTGCTTGTTGGTTCAATAGTGTTTTAATGTTGTCAATGGCTGAATCACTGTTATACTTACAGCCGAGCATGTCTGTCAGGATGCTTGCTATGAAATAACAACTTTTTTAACAATACATTACCAGACATCAGACTCTGAGATTCATAAAAAGCCAGCTATTATAGCTGAAATGAAATCCTGTTATAGCTGTGACTGGTGGTTGTCTTTGCCTAATCGCACGGTACTCAGAAGGGCTCCTAAGCGGGTGTTAACATAGAGCATGCATATTTGGTCGCTTTTAAGCACTAGGGGGCTATCCCGAAAAATGCTATTTTGAAAAAATGTTAGGTAAACTTTTTGCCTCTTGTTCAGTTTCTTAAAAGACAAGGAGAGTTTTCTCTATAACCAATACACACACACCAATGAAACCTTACTTCTATAGAAAGGGCAATGCCCACTTTTAGTGTAGGTCAAGATTTCTGAAACCCCTGAAATCTGGGTTAGCCCGCTTGTCCTTACAAGTGGCCATTTAAGTGAACCTGTGCAAAAGGGGAAAGGGGCGCAACCATCTCATTTCCTTGACATTTTAATGGACGTTTGTTACCTCCCTTGGAATGCGGGAGGGGTCAGTCTCACCTATAATGCGACCAAACATGACTGCTTTACAAAAGATTCCCCCACCTATCTTCAACATATCATATGAACAGAGCCCAATCCTGCCTGTCTGTCATTGTGCACTCAACTAAAGCCATGAGGTAACCACAAAAGGACAAACAAAAGAACACCAATCAACAGAAAGATGGTCTGTCAAACGAAAAAGGAGAGGAGAGAATGGAGTGCCCTATGGGCACAGAACGAATTTCCGAAACAAAACCTGTCTCTGAGACAAGACACACATACACACACACCCAAAAATGTTTTTTAAAAATAAAAACTTGGCTCCTGCTGACATTTGTTCTCTTGCCGTCAATGTGATTTTGTATAGGAAACTCGTTCTGTGCCTTGGTGGCACCCATTCTCTCTTCAGTATGACTTTTTCTCTTTTATCCTTATCCTGGACAATATGTATGTTGCTCATTTTATCACCACTTTTCACACAAGCAGTTCTAGTCATGCATTTCAAAGAATTTAAATTTGATTCAATCAAAAATATAAAATATCTGGTATTTTTACAAATGGTCGTTTTTTAACAGAAAATGAAAACTCCTCAACCACAGAAACAAGAAGAAAGACAATACCTTCAGCAGACCTGCCAACCACACCATGACCAAAAATAATTTTTCCCTCAAAATCCACCCAAAAATATAGGAGTTTAGGGAAAAGTTCCCAGTCTCCAGAATCCCAGTTAATCTGTGACTGCGAAACAAACTGATCGTGATTTCACTGTGCACAGTCACTAAACTGAACACCGAGAAAACTTGACCAAGAGTATGCTGCTGAGTGTAAGCAAAGCATTTTAGTTCTAGTAAGAGTCTTATAGTCCTTGCAACACAATATTATAAAGTCATATAAATGCTGAAGAATAGAGGTGTTACAAGAGAGTAACAAACACAAAAAAGGAGAAATGAGGACGTCAGATGATAGGAAAGAAGAAGCAAACCACACAAGAGCACATGCCAACCACCCACTAAATCAAAGTTTCAGGTTTTAAAAATGTTAAACAACTTTAATAAGACAACTGCTCACCCTGAAAGTTGAAGGTTGGGAACTGGGTCATGTCGACGCCTTTAGCCTGGAAGGCACGCTCCAAATTTGTCAGCATATCCTTCAGCGTGGCCTCCGTTTCTGGAGACGCATCCACTAGTTTACCACCAGCAGACCTGTGACAATTGGAGGGCAGGCATACAGGAGAACAGGTATTAGTGAGAGAAGAAATTTAAGTAACCTAAATAAAAACATTAATCTGCACATATTCATTTCTTTAGAAAAAAATGTCATCAATTGAAAATCTACAAATCTGATCCCAGTGTTAACTATCAGCTAAATTCTCCATTCGTAGATTGCGGGAAGTTACTCAATTTGTCATTATTACTCCTCACTTATTTTCACCAGTGCAGTTTGGGGTCTTTTTCCATTACAGATTAAATTTGTATTTCAAACTCTGCTGTTCCTCACACCCCAAACAATAGATTAATTTTTTTTTTAATCCATGGCGACGGTAGTCATATCATCTTGACATCAAACACCAAGAATTACTCATAAAAAGTGAGTACATTGTGGCAAGAACAAAATTTTGTGATGCAAGAATACAATTTTACCAATCAGATTATACTTAATGTACTCCACTGAGAGTGCAAAAATCATAACATAGGCAAGTTCATCCCTGAGCCCATGATGTTCTTTACCCTTAATCTCACATAATGTTTTTCTAAATCGATTACTAAACTCACAATCAAAATAACCCTGGTCCACTAAGGACCGTACTTTACGCACACCAGTAGGTGTATTTCGACATCCTTACTCTCCAATGGGTCCCATATCACCCACCGACCCCGCTTTGCTTACATGCGCGCTAAGCATCTATGGGTCCCGTAATTGTGTGAGTGTGTCAGTCTGCTTCTGTGCTTGTGTGCGTTTGTGGCCTACTTCTAGAACTGTCTGCGTTGGTTCAAAACCCAGGTGTACGTCTTGTTCGAAACAAGTAAAGTTGGTATCTCTAGAAAATCGTCCTACTAAACTTGAACAAACAGACCCACTTAAACATGAGGAAATAGAAAGGACAACCAGAAAACAAGACTTCCATTTCTGAACCAAGAATCTTTCAAAAATGTTCTTTTAAATAAGCTTGATTTTAACCTAAAACATTATAATATAGATCTATATTACCTGATAGAAACAACCCTATTTGATGGCTTTGAAAACCATTGTATGGCTAGAAAGAAAACTTTGAGAGCAAAACATTCAGAAATTGACCTAGATTCTGAAAATTCATAATTTTTTTCCTTTCGAACCCCAAATCGTTTGAAACAACAACAGCATCTAGAAGGGTTATTCGAATGGGTGTAGCCACTTATAATGACTTATCAACTTATGAAAGGGGGTTATTCAAGTAATAATAATAATAAATGACATTTATATAGCACTCAACCCCGATTAAAGTACACAGGCTCTGAGCGCTTTACAATACAGTACAACGTACAACAGTAACATAAAACGTTGTGTTCCGACTAAAACAAACTAATCAGAAAACTTGTGTTAGCTACAAAGGACAGGGCATTATTTTCATTATCGATTAACACACTCCCACAGAATTCACAGTGAAAACACATGTTTCCATGACCTCCTACAGCATCCACTCTGCGCTAAACGACAGTGGCGCTGCCCCTTGGGAAACCCTGGCCTTAAGAAGAAGCTGGTTTCATCTGTGGCTTAGAGTAGCATCTCTGTAAGCTCACAGATTAAGGACTAATGGGATCCTTAATTTAGCAGAAATTCTAGTCAAACTGCAGTCACTCACTTTGTCTTGTACTCCCTGATCTTATCCACAAACAGCTGCTGGATAGGGTCCAAGTTGGCTTTCTGAGAGACAACAGCAGACATCCCAATGTTGCGCTGAACCTGGTGGGCCACAAAGTTGCCCACAGGCGTCAATCTCTGAAAGGCCTGGCGAAACATTCTGCAACAATCTGCAAACAAACGAACACAGAATGCCATGTGAAAAACACTGGAAAACTGACTGACCATTGATAGCTCAGCAGAAACAGGAACATTAAGACTGGGACCTTTCGATGTTAGGTAGCATGCCATGTCATCGTTTACTAGTCAAAAAGAAGCTACAACCAAAAACAAAAAAATGTTAACAGACCATTCTTGTGAATCAAAATTCAACCCACCGAGGTAAAAGTGGTGCATGACTTTAATTTTAAAGATATATTCGAAATGCAGCACCTCTTTTTTTTAATTTCAAAGGAAAAAAAACATGTTAAAAAAATCAAGAAAGACTTTGAAAACAGACTTTTGCTTACTTGTACCTTCACAAGATAGAAAATCTAAGGGGTTCTTGACAGTGTATGTAAACTCTTCATCCAAAGCTGCAACCATTCCTTACATTTGCCAGATTTGATTAGATTCACTTCAAATTTCGAAGAAATAATGACAAACCAGTCCAAGACCAGCTGGTTTGGTTTATGTGGCTGGTATATATATAATCTCATACCAGCCAAAGTTTACATCCAAACTTATAAACTTTACTTTTACAATGTTCTGTGGAACTCAAGTAAGTTAAGAAGCAACTAAATAAAATATAAAGTGCAAACATTCACATATATTGTCAATATCATTTCATACACTTATTTACAACTTGTCTTGGTTTTTATGAAAAAAAAAATTTAAAATACACCCATTTATCTTGAATAGAATCCAGACATTTGTGTTCTGAGGAGGTGGAGACTATTTGGTGTCAAAGGCAAAATTAGGGAGAAAATGGCCACTGAAACTTGGCGATTTCCCAAACTGTGGTGTAATTGGAAACTCCAAACTTACTTTTTTTGCCAAACGATTTTTCAGTAAAATCCACAAAGAAGTGTGTTTTCAAACTAACAAAAAAGGTGCTGAGCCAAAGAATAAAAATAACCAAAATTTTACCCAACGGGAGGAATAAACAGTCAGTTTCTTTAAATTTGTTACTTTAACGAGCTCCTGAATTCAGAACGATGCCACACATATATGTGAAGTATCGTGGTGAAATCAGGCGCTCGTCAAAATAATGAAATCTAAGAAAAAGGCATGTTTCAACCAGGTTGGCAATTTTTATTGAAATTTTGGTTTTTGGCTTAACACCTTTATATTCAAAGGAAAACACATTTCTATGTGAATTTTACTTTTTTTTAAACCTTGTTCTAAGGCACAAAATATGCAATTTTCAGTTTTCAAGGACTCTTTAAGCTATTGAAGTTACCAAACTTTGGCGGCTATTTTCTCATTAATTTAACCACTAAAACTAGGCAACCCCACCTTCTTCAGTCGCAAATATCTCGACTTCTATTCAAGCTAGACGGATATTTTTTTCACTGAAAGCAAGGAAAATGAATTAGCCTTCAGATGATACTAATAACTCCATATTTGCCCAAAAATTGACAAGCGCCCCATTCCACTGCGTCGTGACACATACAAAGTCAATTATAAAATCTCTCGGAAGTTGTTTTTTTTACAATAGTAGGCCTACTAGTACTAGCAGTGCAAGAATCCGTAGTTGTTAAATCAAATATTATTTTACTTATTTATGGACCCATCTCATGTTCAAAATTTCTTGAGTCTAAAGCACTCCTGTACTTACTTACTTGTTCATTTTTATTTGTTTCACATAAGTTTTGACTTTATCCACCACAAATTATTAGTTATGAGCTTTTGCCAAAAGGTGGGGGTGTTTGCTTAAGGACATTTTTAAAATCAACCACTACTCATGGTAAAATATGTTTTCTTCTGAAAACTTTATGTATATGGCAAGGAAATAAGTTGGTCAAGCTGC